ACTTTGCAAATCTCGATAGTGTTGGTGTAGAATTTCTCACAGCATGATAGCTGTTACTTTCACCACTTGAAATATCAAATTGAATTACCGTGCAGTATTGGTTTCCATGTCCTCTATTTTCTTTATATATATATATATATATATATATATATATATATATATATATATATATATATATATATATAAAAACTGTTTTTACAGACAAGGTTTATTTTGTCTAGGAAACGGCTATATTTTAAAAAGTGGCTAATACAAAGCTCAAAAAATTGAAAGTGCAGAGCCATTTAATGTTTAAAATTTAAAAAATATTTTAATTTTAAAAATATTTAAATTTTAAAAATATTTAAATTTTAAAAAATATTTAATATCTTAAAACCTCTTTAAAATATTTAAATGAAACGTTAATCTCCATCTTCTGTTTTCCTGAATTCGTATCTTTTATTGTCCTTTCTTTCGATTAATGTTTTCAAATTGTCTTACATTCTCAGTATCTTTTTGGGGGTCTTAGTGACATTATTGTCTTGTTTAGAGTGAAATGATTAAAAAAAGATTAGGAAGGTATTTTCATTGGCGAACGCCTTCAAAATGGACAAACTGTTAATGTAATGTGATGGAAAGTGCTTTTCCTCTGTAAGGTTAATACATCTTCTCACAAGTCTAGTAAAGCGATGGGTGATTTGGTTGATTTGGAATTTGATTCTATAAACCGTTTAGCCTCCCAAACAAGATCTTTTAAATGAATATTCCTTATTTTCAAACCTTAAAAGGGTATTTGAAAATGGGGAGGTTTTGAATAAAGTGAGTCCCCCGTATTTGCTTGGGTTATGAACCAAAACCGGCCGCGAATAGTTAGAATCAACGAATACGTGTAACCCTACCTAAAAGTGCTTATACGTATCTATCTTGATTGTTAAACCCCATATGCCTTAAACTTTAACCCTGACAACTTTAGAAAAATTTCAGCGCCTTTTTAAAACATTTTTAAAAAATAGTATTGGTGACCATCCATTCAGCGTAAATTTTCTTTCATACGTATAATAACCGTTTTTTAATTACGCATAGATTGATGCAACTATTGAAAATACTGTATAAAATATGTGTAACGAGACATAAAATATAACGTTTAAAACATTTTCTAAAAAGAGAACTGTGATGATGCCCCTGTCAGAGTTAACGCCCCCTGAATTTCCTAATGGTTCACTAGAGGTCGTTCTCCCTACACTATAAATACGGGGCAATTTATTGCCTCGATCTCTTTCGACTTTACATTTCAGCGGACACATTTAAAAATGTGACCTCTCGCAGAAATCCGCGTTTTCGTCCACTTGTGGGAAAACACCATAAACACACATACACGTAAATATGAACGTTCACCATAATACAAACTCTTTACGTTCACACACAAACACAAATGTTAATGTCTTTGTCACTTGTAAATTTGTTAATACATATATTTGTTGATATATATATATATATATATATATATATATATATATATATATATATATATCGGTCTTGTTTGTTTTCTTTACATCTTCGGTTGGACTCAACTTGAGTCCACCGTGTTCTTCTAGTTGGACTTCTCCTAGCAGGAATAAATAGAACGTGTTCCTAATTCAACAACTCGTAAACTCACACGGTTCGCTACACCCCCACACTTAGCATGAGCCACTTTTAAGACCCCAGCCGCAGCCCCTAACAAAGAACAAAGCCCAAGCACTACACATATTTTTGAGTTTGTTTTTTACAATAAAGATATAAAATTCTGCCAGTTTTTTACCATAAAAATGGACTGTTATATTATTTACGTCACTTAAATAACAGGAAAATAATACAAGAATATTTTAAATATGTTATATCGAAAAAAATACGCGAATCGAGGGAGTTCTCAGTGAATAATTTGTACATATGTTCTTCAGAAAAAAACACGGGAATATTCGGGTTTTCGGCGAATATTAAGTACATATGATCTCAATTCGTGAATGTGTGAAACCGAAAACACTAAAAGGCAAATAGGCGGGGACACGGTTTAATTTGGATCACCGCGGAGGACCTTATTTCAAAGATCAAAATTCAGATTTTATTTTAGAAGCGTTTAGACAAACAATGTGCCGAGTGTATTGGATTGTGGCGCGAATATCGGGAATACTATCACGAAGAATTCAGAAATACAGCTCTGTCTTATTTTCAGCGCCTTCTTTTAAATCAATGCCATAATTCTTTTTTGTTTTCCCCTTACGTTTTCAGAGAATATTATCAATATTATTATTATTTTTCTTTCTTTCTTTCTTTCTTTCTTTCTTTCTTTCTTTCTTTCTTTCTTATCGGGTTGCTTCTAATTGATTATTCTTTCCGTCGAATGATGGACGATGTTATCCAGGGAAATGTCGCACGAGAATTCGACATTAATCTGCACATGGATATCTATGAACGACCTTTCTGGCGATGCCTTGTCCACATTCGGTCTCTGATGATTCGGCGTGCGTCAGATCAATTTCGGGTTGATTTTAACACCGATATATTCACAGGAATTGCGCATTAGCTTTTCAAATTCGATACTGTTTGCTTTTCAGGGAAATGGAATCAAAGAGACCATTTTCACGAGAATAATGATAGCGTCAATCTAATAAGAATATAGATGACTATATCCATAAAATCAGAATAAACCGTGGGTGGAATTAAGATATATCCGCTCGTGGATATCACCGTACAGGAATTTTATACATATATATATATATATATATATATATATATATATATATTTGAGGTGAGTTCGAATTCCAGTCGAATCCTTTACATTCATTTACGTGCTAATACCTTTGGGAAATGTGTGAATCCTCTTCTTCTCCCTCCAGCTATGGGTAAATGGCAGGATAGACTGGGTTTTATAGCTTTGGATGGCAAGTGCTCTAGGGGCAAGACAACACTGAATTCAGAACCTGCGGAGGGTCGTTTGGGGACCCTGTGGCACATAGTGTACTGGGTCTCTGTATTCGGCCGTTCAAAGAGTGTGGATGGTTCTGCACAAAACCTTCACCATTATAATCAAATCTCATATGCTGGCGCCGAGCTGTCAGTTTCCTAGGAACAAATCTGTTTGACTTTCATACGTCGACGGGAGAGTAGAGTATTCATATATATATATATATATATACTATCATATACTATGAGAGTAAAAACAAGAACAACATCTATTCCATACCTGAAGATGTCTGTAGGAACACACGAAAGCTTGTAGTAAAAATAAGAACTAATGCAACAGAAATTTATAAAAACAAGGATCTTTTCATTCATAAGAAGTTCGGGGTTTTTGTATATTATTTGAATTGTTTGCGACGATGGATTTCTCGCCAATTAAATCATTAACCTTTGTATTTGTTTTTGTATGAATAATTCATGAATATATATATATATATATATATATATATATATATATATATATATAAAAAAAATATACGGAAAAAAACAAAAATCTTAATATGCAATTATGCTGTTTTAATGTTAATATAATGTCAACGTCGGACGTTTCAGTCTAGTAGACCATCTTCAGGACATATTCATAAAACACAATTAACATTAGACTATATTTAATTCAACATAAACGAGATATTCGCCTCGGTAATTTAAACAATGCTTTAGTTGTACACACAACTAAATGTGATCATAATTTCGATTTTGATTCTGTGAAGATTTTAAAATATATTCATAATAAAAATCTTAGACGGATTTATGAGGCAGGCATAATATCTATCTCAAGCACGGTGAATACTAGACCCGGCTTCTTTAATATTTCCCCTTTTCTAGCAAGATTAATGCTCGACAAACGTACATATAAATTTTAGATTAAAATAAACTTCTTTTCATTTTTCATTCAAAATACTCTATTTTAGGAATACGTTTTCAAAACATCGCCCACGTGACGCCGACGTGATCATACTGAAACGAAACGCTGATCTTGAATTATTTCAGTTATCTGTTTTGATTAGTCTTACTCTTATGTCCATCGTCTTGTCATGTTGAATAAAATATAGACTAATGTTAATTATGTTTTATTAATATGTCCTGAAGATGGTCTACTAGACCGAAACGTCCGACGTTGACATTATATTAACATTAAAACAGCATAATTGCATATTAGGATTTTTGTTTGTTTTTTCCGTATATTTTTCTTCATACTGTCGGATCTATATCCATATATTTGCTTACATATATATATATTACTTAGGTTTATATTTTGATCTATAGGCAAAGTGGTATTATTTTAATCCATGGTTATATATATATATATATATATATATATATATATATATATATATATATATATATAAAATATTGTAGTGGACGAGGAGGAGGCTTTGTCTTCCTTCCTCTCTTGTCGAATTCACTGCCTCCGGGTGAAGAGGAATCCAGAAGACAAGGACATGCCAAAGGACAAATTCTCGTCTGGGGAGGCAGACAGACCCGACCCCATGTATACGATGTCTACGGGCAGTTTTTGAACGGGCCTACGGTCTGAAACGCTCCGTTTTAAAACACTCGCCTTGTACCACATCTTGCCTCGTGGGGAGGTTGGTAAATAGAGAAGTGATTAAAACAAAGACCTTTTAAAAATCGATAAAAAAACTTTCATATTTCCGCACTAAGTTGTGCATTTCAGGCGATGCTAAATAACGTTTTATTATTTTTAATTAAACGCTACGGATATATATATATATCCATCCGAGTCGAGCCGAGTTCGAATTCCACTTGAATCCATTACATTCACTTACGTGCTAATACCCTTGAGAAAGGTGTGATTCATTTTCTTCTCCCTCCAGCTATGGGTAAATAGCAGGACAGACCGGGTTCTATAGCCTTGGATGGCAACTGGTCTAGGAGAAGGACAACTCTGAATTCAAAACCTGCGGAGGCACTTAGTGCACAAGGTCTATGAATTCGGCCTTTCAAAAAGTGTGGCTGGTCCTGCACGAAACCTTCACCACTATAATCAAATCTCATGTGCTGTTGTCGGGCTGTCGGTTTCCTAGGAACTGATCTGCTTGACCCTCATACGTCGAACTCGACGGGGTGGGGAGATAGTCGACTATATATATATATATATATATATATATATATGGGGAGCATGTATTTGTGTGTGTATGCATGAATACATAGGGTTGTCTCAATAAATCTCTTGCCTGATGTAATGTCATTAGCCTAATATTCAACTGAACATTTCATTGGATAATGTCCATTCTCTATGATTGATGCAGAAGTTTTAAGCTACGCGAATTGCTCTCGACTGTTCCGTCGCTGCTTTGAAACAGGGATGTTAACAGCAGGTGCTTTAGCTGTAGTAATTTCGGGTGTATTGGGTTTCTGTACAGTAAATTATTACTAAATATCCCTACAATCGCTAGTGTTATTGATATCTGGGGACTTTTGTGAACCTTTTAACTCAAGTGAGATGGGTAGCAAATATACACGTACTTCATTATTATTGTATTTTACGAATTCTTATTATTATAGGTGTCATTATAGGGACAGCGTTTAAGTACTCTTTGATCCTCATTGATTGCCTAATATGGGATATATGATGCCACCTATAGATCGTTTTTGCTGACTTGATGCTACAATACCTGGCCCGAGGATTGAATACCTGACCAGCAGACGAATATAACATATATATATATATATATATATATATATATATATATATATATATATATATATATATATATATTCAGCGTCAGACAGTTTTAACATGTTTCTGATGCCCCTGTTCAAGAACAATAACGAATAATAACATCTCAGGGACAACATATCAACAGGTATCCCGTATCAGCCAACCGGTTGATATCTGATGAAGACCCGAGGCTAGATGGTCGAAACGTCGCGTATATGATAACATCTGTATAAACCAAAATGAGAACAATAGTTCGAAATAATACCGGAATTTTGACAATTACACATGGAAAAAAAATTAGTTCACTGAACTTATCGACATGCCCTGTGGAATGCTTTCAGTAAAACATTGAATCATTCATGCCCTGTAGGCCACATTTATACCGACTTCATTATCTAACAGGTAGTCGTGCTTCAGTATTTAACAGAGTGAACTGCATTATTCCTTAAGAGTTTCCAATCCGGTGAAGGATGTACGAGATTTTAACTGCATGCTCCAAGAAAATGAATACCGTTGGAAAGAAACTGTATTAATCTTAATCAAACTAAATGGCATTAATAAACAACAATGTAATCCATTTAAACATGTAATATTAATAAGATGTCTAAGAACTATCCAATCACTTTGTATATCTCAAGAAACTGCTTCTCGGCTTTGATAAACTTGCCAACCAATCAGGCAGGTCCTGAAATGTGCATGCGCAAATGGACACTTTATTGTGACTTACTCAGTCGGCTGGGGACATCACTGATTGAATTTGTACATTGTGTAACCGTTACATTCACTGTGAATATATAAATGTTATGGCTAACATTTGGACACTAGAACGCGAATAATATTCAAATGAATAATGTTTTCGGGGAAAATTCAATGCGCCAAGCACAGATAAATTGTTGCTATCGGTGCTTGAAATCTGGAAACAAATCCTTTGAAAGAGTTCTACGTTCTGGAAAATCTCCAACAAGCAGAACACACAAAAAAAATGTTGAATGCCTGCAATAAAACTGAGTATAAGAGAATAAGTTCTGGAGGTAGTGGGGGGGATTCCATCCAATGTCCGGAAAGTTCCCAGCAGCACAGAATCTCCCGACTACTCTTTATAATGTCTTGTGGAATGTCTTCATCAAAACTTTGAATAAGTCATGCCTGGTAGGCCAAACTTATATTAAGTTGTTTGGTTGGTTGTTTTGTTTTATGGCATATCAACATCAGTGGGTCATTTAATGCCAACAAAATTTTGAAATAGATTCATAGAGATAGTTTGCTAAAAAAAAAGGTGTGTATGTATACATATATATTTTAACCATTTTTCAATTACTCATATTTTTTAGTACAATCCAACTTATTTACGAATTTTAGAATCTTGGATGGTTTTATTTTCGTAGAAAGTTTTTTAAATTACCCACATGGAAACATTTTGTTCGTACTAGAACAAAATCTACACACTCTAACAGTTTTTGTTTCACTTTAAATTTTCTTGGCATGTAGTACATATTTGGGAATTTGTTTCCTCTAGTTTGGTTTGGTTTGTTTTGTTGTACAGCATATCAACCTCAATTTTAGTTATTTAATGCCAAAAAAATTATATTTCTGGTAATATTTTGTTTTTTCAAAAATCTATTTCTGGTAATAGTTTTCCTCCAAAAATGTATTGCTAGTAATAATTTTTTTCAAAAAAGTATTGATGGTAATAATTTACCTCAAAAATCTATAGCTGGTAATATTTTTTCTTCAAAAATATATTGTTGGTAATATTTTTTTTTCCTTCAAAAATTTATTGCTGGTAATAATTTTTTACAAAGTATGTTTGGTATTAAAACATTTCATAGTGTTTT